TGAGTGCAGCTCCAACAACACTCAAAAAGCTTGACACCATCCAGGACAAAGCAGCCCACTTGTTTGGCACCACATCCACAAGCATTCACTCCTTCCATTGCCAAAGCTCAGTAGCAGCAGTGTATATTATCTACAAGATGCACTGCAGAAATTCACCGAAGATCCTTAAACAACAACTTCCAAACCCACGACCACTTCCATCTAGAAGGACAAGGACAGCAGATATATGGGAATGCCACCACCTTCAAGTTCCCCTCCAAGCCACTCACCATCCTGACTTGGAAACATATTGCCGTTCCTTCACTGTCACTGGATCAAAATCCTGGATTTCCCTCCCTGATGGCATTGTGGGTCAACCTACAGCAGGTGGACTGCAGTGGTTCAAGAAGGCAGCTTACCACCACCTCCTCAAGGGCAACTAGGGACAGGGAATAACTGATGCCCATGTCCCAAAAAATGAATCAAATAAAAATAGATAATTATCACAACAGGACACTAGGGAGAAAATCCAACCCAGCTCTGAGTCCCGTCTCAGTTTAGGTTCTTGTGCCTCACTGTAGAGAGCAGGCACTGCTTCATTGGAAGGATGATACTTACAGTAGTGCAGCACTCACCCTCCGACAGCGCTGCACTCCCTCAGCACTGACCCTCCGACAGTGCGGCACTCCCTTAGCACGTCAGCCTGTATTGTTAGGGCTATAAAATGGTAACCTGTATCGTGAATTTCTGGAGCCTGACATATGACGATGAGGTTTGGCGGACATTTATTTATAAACCAAAATGTTTATTTTTGTATGAAAAAGCAAGGTTTGAACATGGGGAGAAACTAAAGCTTGGGGTGATGTTGAATGGAGCCCAACAGGAAATTGGACTTGAGATGATCCGATGCCTTATTGAATGGTGATGGACCAGCCATCCTCCTCCTCCTCCCTTTTGTTTTTATGAATGGAGCCTCATTCTGTGCTGTATGCAAGTAATTTCATGTAGTCTATTTCCCACTCCTGGCAGTATGCATCATTGGTAAGGCTGATATTAATTCCCTACCTCTTGTTGTCTCAGAGAATGTAATGGTGAGCGTCTGCCTTGAACTATTGAATTCTTTCAGTTGTGTGTTTACCCACAATGCTCTCAGGGAGGGAATTCCAGGATTTTGACCCAGTGGCAGTGAAGGAACAGCGATAGATTTCCAGGTCTAGATGGGGAGTGGCTTGGAGGGGAACTTATCGGTCGTGGTGTTCCCGTTGTATCTGCTGCCCAAGTACTTCTGCATGGAGTGATTGGGGGTCTGGAGGTTCTGTCTAGGGATCTTTGGTGAATTTCTACAGTGCATCTTGTAGATAGAACACACTGCTGCTACTGAGTGTCAGTGGTGGAGGGAGTGGATGCTTGTGGATGTAGTGTCAATCTAGCAGGCTGCTTTGTGCTGGATGGTGTCAAGCTTCTTGTGTGGTGTTGGAGCCGCATCCATCCAGGCAAGTGGGGAGTATTCCATCACACTCATGGCTTGTGCCTTGTAGATGATGCATAAGCTTTCGGGAGTGAGGAGGTGAGTTACTCATCGCAGTACTCTTAGCCTTTGACCCGTTCGTGTCGCCACTGTGTGTATGTAGCGAGTCCAGTTCAGTTTCTGGACAATGGTAATCCCCAGGATGTTGATAGCAGGGATTCAGTGATGGTAACACTGAAGAGAGATGATGGTCAGACTGTCTTTTGTATGAGATGGTTATGATACTTTGTGGAATGAATATATCAGCACAGGCCCGGATATTGCCCAGATCTTGTTGCATTTGAACACGGACTGCTTCAGTATCTGAGGAATTGTGAATGGTGCTGAACATGTACAATGATTGGCAAATGTCCCCATTTCTGACCTTATGATGGAGTGAATGTCATTGATGAAGCAGCTGAAGGTGGTTGGGCCTAGGACACTACCCTGAGGAGCTCCTGCAGAGATGCACTGGAGCTGAGATGACTGACCTACAACACCACAACCATTTTGATTTGCCAGGTACAACTCCATCCACCGAAGCTACAGTCTTTGCAGGATTCCAGTTTTGCTTAGATTCCCTGATGCTAGACTTTAGTGAAATTCTTTCCTGATGTGAGGTACAGTCAGTTTTGTCTGTGATGTGGAGACAGTAAGAAGTGCAGATACTGGAGTCAAAGTCAATACAATGTGGAGCTGGAGGAACACAGCAGGTCGGGCAGCATCAGAAGAGCAGGAAAGTTGATGTTTTGGGTCGAAAGCCTTAACCAGGACTATGAAGGGTCCCAAACTGTAATGTCAACTCTCCTGTTCTCTGATACTGCCTGACCTGCTGTGTTCCTCCAGCTCTAGACTGTATTGTCTCTGATGTGGAATTCAGTTCTTCTGTCTGTGTCCGGGCCAAGACTTTAATGAGGTCTGGATGCTATTGACCATGGTGGAACCCAAACTAATGACTTGATTGGGTGTAAGGCATGTCTTTCTTATTATAATGGAGTGAAGACTATTTTCTCACTGGTTTGCGTTGCTTTTGCTGAGACTCTGTGTTAAGGAGGTGGTGGCCTGAATTCAAACAGCAGGAGCCAGTGTAACCTTTCCTCAGTCTCAGATGTGAGGAGAGGAATAGGGAGGTCAGGCGCAATGCAAGGTGATTATATCAACTTTTGCAGCCAGAGAATACAGAAATAATCCTTTTGTCAGCTGCTAGTTCAATTAGAGCCCATGTCCATACATTGGCTACCAGTTTACGCTGGTGATCTGTCACAATTTCTGCCTGTCATGTGCCCATGGCACTATACTTGATCCTGGCAATTGGTGCTTCAGCTTTTTACTGAGGATCCATGAAACGTCAAGGCAGTGTTCACACTGAACTGTGCTCCAGTTACAGCTTTGGCAATTGATGTGCAGTGGGGCAGGTACAATCTAATGTGTGAATGTCCGGGTTGGGCTCTCCCAGCAGCCACAATTGGAATTACTTTCCATCTCTCAAAAACTGCCTATGTTACCTTACTTGAACAATTTCACTCCTGCTCCCCACCCCTTCACACTGTGCCTGCTCCTTCACATTGTGCCCCCTCTCTCACATTGTGCCCCTTCCATTAAACCACCACCCCCTCTCTCCCCCACCCCCCACCCCCACCACCACCGGCCCAGCAGCATCCCATTGAGCACCCCTCCCCCTCCTCATGCAGCATCCCCCACACACTCCCCAGGGCCTAGAGATGTCCTGTCCAGCAACCCTCCCTCTTCTCATCCACCACAAAGGTGCCTTGTGAATATCATTGTCTCTCCAGCATCTCATCCTTTGTCAGTCCAGATCACGTTCTCCCACATTTCCTCCTTTGTTTCTCTCTGCCTGTCCTCCATTCTCCCATTTTGCTTGTGTTTATCGCACTCTTCCTGTCACTCGCACACTCGTCTTCCAATTCAGCTGCGTCTTTCACCCACCCACCTCCCACAGGTTCTTATTCTTTCCCTCTCTCCCTACTATCTCTGTCACTCACGTCCCTGTATTTCCTCCAGTTGACCAAACCATTTTAATCCGTCCCTGACTGTTCTCTTTGCCTTTAGTGTCTCCATTTACTCCGGTTTAATTTATGATGTTGGGCTGTTCTTTGCTGATCATTCACAGCAAAGTCAGAATCTGCAACTGTCCTTGTGATTTTTGTCCAGTTGTCTCTTTCTGTGCTAATTCTAGGTGATACGATGTTGTCTGTCCTCACATTCCTCAGCCTCTTCTCAGCTTCACGGCGTTGTGTTGAACTCCTCTGCTGCCTTCTGCTTGGGTTTCCCCATTTAGACCAGGAGAGGGAGTGAGACATTCTCCGTTCTGCCCAGCAGCACCTTCAAGTTAACGTTCCTTAATTTGGTTATTGCCCTTCTTACCCTTTACTTGCCTTGTCCCATAATCCTTGATTCTTTTACTGATTTGAAGATCTGTCTATCTGAACCTTAAATATACTCATTAACACAGCATTGACAGCCCTCTGTGGTAAACAATTCCACAGATTCACTAATCTCTGAGAGAAGAAATGTCTCCTCAGCTCTGTCTTAAATGGGCAACCCTTTACTCTTCGGATTATGCCCTCTGATCTGAGACTCAACATCTGCCCTGTCAACCTCCCTAAGAATCTTGTATGTTTCAATAAGGTTGTCTCCCGTTCCTCTAAACTCCACTAAGTACAACCCAATCAACTTTCCTCATAGCACAGTCCCTCTATACCTGGTATCAGCTCATTAAACCCTTTCTAGACTGCTTCCAATGCCAGTATATCTTTCATTCGATACGGAAACCAAACTGTTTGCAGCATCCTAGGTGTCTCCTGACTACTGCCTTTTATAATTTTTGGAGGAATTCCCTATTTTATACTCCATTCTCTTTGCAATAAAGGATAGCATTCTGTTTACCTTCCTTATTGCCCACTGAATCTGGATGCTGGATTTTTTGTGATATACACACAAAAATCGCAAATTAAAGATCTTTATTGCAGCTTTCTGCAATCTTTCCTCATTTAAATAAATTCTGTCTCCTGCAAACCTACCTCTTTAACCAAGCATTTTGTCTCCTGTCTCAAGTATCTCCTTAGGTGTCCTGATGTAACACAATGTTTCAGAACTTCCTGTGAAGGGAGATGTCACTGACACTATAAGAATGCAGAATGTTGTTATGTGCAGTGGGCTTTTAAGAATTACAATGTCAACATCACCCCAGCTAAATGAGAAAATCATTTTATGGATAATCAGGAATTTAGGCTTTGGGGAAAACTTGAGAGGAGAGGGAGAGAATTGAAGTGTGTGTCAGCCATGGAGAGACAGAGAGATGGTGAACACAGGAAACCGTAGAGAGGAAGAGACAGACAGAAGAGCCTGGTCGAGAAGATACCAAGAACTTCAGATGCTGGAATCAGAGTCAGAGTGGAGCAAGTGTTCCACCCAGTCATGTTCAACTGTTGGAGAGGATTCTGGGGTTCTGTAATGCAGACCTCACTTTAACCCCTCTGGTTTCTCTTTGTAGGTTATCTCCGCGATCTCCAAAATCTCCCATCATGCTGCTATCCAGTGCAAAGGCATCAGGTAATCATGGCAATGCATTCCATTCTCTTCGCCTGAACTGTCTAAATATTTACAGCACTGTTTCTGCTCTCTGTGTTTTCGATAGATAATAGTTGTAAATATCTGCCTATAGGAGGTTTGACTACAATGCCTGTGCCAGAATGAGTGAGGGTATCATTCTGAATATGAGAGTCAAATAACTGCACAGAGGCTGGTATCCAAGTCACCCTTTATTTACATGTGCACAGTATATGGGCTCAAAACAGCCAGCTCAAAGTCAGTACCAAGAGTGAGCAGAATCTCCTGTTTATATCTGTCAGCCAGGGCTCCCTGATTGGCCCAGGTTAACAGCCCCGATCAAGGATCACATATGCAATGAGATCCACCTGGCCCTCATTCCAATCAGTACAGTGAGAGGTGCAGGCAATGTATATCTCTCTGCCTCTGCTGATGTGGCAACACAACAGGTGTGAGTTTGTGCAACCGCAAGTATCTTTGGACACCTTACAACTTGATTTCGTAAGCAAGCCTGGGTAAAGGTCTCTCTATCCCTTCATTGAAGTCACTGATAGATGCTGTGAACAGTGCAAATATAGAGAGACATGAGAAATCACATTCTCCAACCAGAAAACATTCCCAACTTCCCAGTCTCTATCTCTGGTTACCCTTCAATGCCCCATCCTTCCAATTCTCTGCATTCTGACATTTACAAAAATCACTCTCGTGTAAAACCATATCCAATGTCTTCTGGAAATCCAGGCAGATACCAGCCACAGACACTCACTTATCGGCCTTCTTATTGACTTTGTCAAAATATTCAACTCGACTAGTTAAAAAGACAGATCTTTAACAAAGTCATGCTGGATACCTCAGATTTAGCTCATCTTTGTTTGAAGATAGAGAATGGAAAGGCTACGGAATGACAGTTTGATCAACACATTCAGATGCTGTAAGTTAAAGCACTGAGGGAGATTGGTCTCACACCCGCCTGTAGGTGTCAGCGGTCTGACACTTTGTAACGGTAATTCCCCCCATGAGGGTCCACTCCTGCTGCTGCCAGGAACGATCGGTCCGGGTGTGTTACATTGATTGAACTTGCTATTAACGTGACCGTACTTGCAACCCAAATACAAACCTGTCATCTTCCCTAAAACAGGAAGAAAGAGACAAGTTTGGCAGAAATTGACATTGCTCAGAGCACTCTGTGTTGCAGTATCTGGCAGTATTGTTCCACAGTTACCAGCAAGTAAGTGGGAGGGAACTCACATCTCAGTTAGAGCAACAAAGTGCAGTACAGGACTTAGATTGTCAGAGACTCAGCATTGAGAGAGTGCTGAGGGAACGCCGCACTGTCGGAGGGTCAGTGCTGAGGGAATGCCGCACTGTCGGAGAGTCAGTGCTGAGGGAACGCCGCACTGTCGGAGAGTCAGTGCTGAGGG